GTTCAAAAACGCTGATTCATTCATTCAAAGAGATGTAATGAAACACGCTGTTGAAATCATTTTAACTTTGAGCGCCACTTTAGAAGGCTCAGCTGACCAGCTATGCGTCGATGCTAAGACAGAGATTTCGCTTTCCTTGGACATGACAACATATTTTCACAAATATATATGACTCGGCCTGGAGGACAGACGCAAGTAATCGCACGCGCTCAGTCGATCTGTCTCTCATTCACTGTCTGTTTAGGCTGTTTAGGAGCCTCTGTACAAATCAGCATGGTACACATTATGTTATCATTACTAGCTTGTTTAATATTCAGTCCACATGCATGAAGTGTAAAACGAGAAGGGCATAACCTTACGAAAAAAGAAAACACGCAAAAATCGCGGTTGCTGCGGTTCTTGCATTCCTCTGCGGTTTGCTCTTCAATAGCGCGGTATTGCGATATTGCGGTTATCGCGACAGCCCTAAATAAGAGTTGGCATAATCAACGCTAACCGTAGGCTACTTACAGTCCTCGATGCAGTAATATATAACCGAGCTGCATTTCAATCAAACGTGGGTCGTCATGTGAGATTTACGAGCCAGAAATATCAGTTTCATAAGCCGGGCTTCTTTAGTGAGCTTGAGTGGAGCTGACAGCAGCACAGGTAAAATATGAGCAAGTACTCTTCTGACCACTTGAATTAGTCTGACAGAGTGAAAACAGAGCGACGTGAAGTGATTAGCGCTGCTAAAAGCAGAGAGCGATCGCACTTCATAAATCTGAACAACTCGCCGTAATGAACTTACAAACTTACGTATCCGAGCGGTTTTTAGCATGCTGACGTTCATCCGTCGCTCGTTCGCAAGTAAATATAATATATATTTATATTATCACGGCCGGATGCTTCTGGAAAACACGAAAACATCAAGAAAACTGAAATGTAACCCTGGAGCACAAAACCAGTCATAAGGGTCAATTTTTCGAAATTGGGATTTATACATCATCTGAAAGCTGAATAAATAAGCTTTCCATTGATGTATGTAGAACAATATTTGGCCGAGATACAACTATTTGAAAATCTGGAATCTGAGGGTGCAAAAAAATCTAAATATTGAGAAAATC